TTGCAGCCGAAAGTATCCCCATCTGGAACCCGGTTTCGTCGAAATTGTAGATATCCCCCTCTTGAATCGCGTACTTGTCAATCACGTTTCGTACAAGCCGAAACTACGCGTTTACTACGTTAGGATCTTCGCATTGGGTCCTCTGGTAATCGATCCGGCGTCAAAAACGTGTTGTAAGCTCGGGGTGTCGGCTCACGAAGTTGTACGCCCATCGGGGTCCGACGCGTGACGCGTCGCGTGCTACGCGAAGACGATCAGCCATATCTTGGACGTCAGAGAGCCGGGGCTGAAATCCTCGAGCGTCAAGGTCGAGTACCCTCTCAAGAAGTGCCTTCTCTTCCAAGTCGGTCAATTTTTGAAGGTTGGCTGGTATTTCACGTCGTGGTTGCTTTCCAGCGCGTCGATTCTGGAGCGAGCTTCGTGGAATCTCGTAGATCGTAGCAGCTTTCGAACGGAAAGTTTAGGGATTTTTTTAAAAGCTTCGAGTGCAACGAAAATGCGACTCACTTTTGGAAGAGGATCCATTGTGTTTTGTGAAAGAAATTCGCGATCAAGTTCGAGAGGTTGCAAAGTGAAGAAAAGTGGCCCACTCGTTATGCTGGCCCACTCGTTATGCAAGTACGTTACACAATAATTAAGTAGTTTAATGCCTGTATAGTGATGTCCAATAACTTTCGCCTGTCTGTCATCTTAACTGATTTGTTGCAGACCTCCGCAAGGGAAAGTAGTGTAGGTAGACCTTTTTGCAGTAGAGATGGCGTAGGAGAGAGGCTGGCGCCTGTGGTTAGACAGGCCACCGGTTTGCAATGACGGAAGCGAACATTGGAGTCTCTATGCCGATCTCCATGCCAACGAGGGCTGCCTAACCGATTGGGAAGTGTAGTGGATTGACTTGGTAGGTGGTATTTAGGCGGTATACAAAAAGATAAAGAGAATAGCTAAGTTAAGTAGGCGGTAGAAAAGGTAGTAGGCGGTAGATAGGTTACAGTTATAAGCTAACGAGGAAGGTTGTACAAAGGTAGTGAGCAAGATTTGTCTGATTCTGTTCATGCGAGGTAGTAGGGTGGATCAGCGGCACAATAATCCCAGGA